TTCATCCTAGATTTTCTCTATTTTTAATCATTCGAGATCTGATTGATCTCACAATAAATTGCACTTTTCTATGGCCCATGTAGTGCCTTTTCCCTTGGTTCCGCCAATCTGGTCAGACTGCTAAACACTCCATTTGTACGCATGTAGGTCTATTCTTCTTTTATGCTCTCTAAATTCAAAGAAATTTAGTATTACGTGTTGTAGTTTCCATAAATCTCCCGAACTTCTTTATTTGAATAAATCAGTATCTGGACATCTTGAATTGAAAAGAACCTTACCTTTTAAGTCAACAGGTAGGTATCTAAACGGATATATTATCTCTCCTTGATTTCCTGCTTTTTTCGGTCCACCTTTCCTCTTTTTACCTTGTAGTATCCCTCCCCTTTTTGTTTTCGTTGTTGGCTTTGGGGATAAGGCCAAAAACAAAGGCCGAGAGAGAACACAGTGCTCTTGCTTTGGGGTGAAGGATGCAGAGGTTCAAGTCGGTATTTTTCTTTTCCTTGCATTCGACTCTCTCTTTCCTTCTGTTGCCTACTCCGATTTTCCCCTTTATTTTAGTGTTTAGGGCTTCAAGATAACCATTTCGGTCCGATCTTAGTGTTTCTGTAGTGGTCCCATGATATAGGTTTAGTGGGGGCTTAATATGTCAGGTTCTGATATGAACGGTTTATTTTTATGTTTATTACTTGCTTCTTTTGTGGTCCATGTTTGCATGTTAACAACTCAGAGTTGGGTTTTGATTTTTCCATGGTAGTACAATGATTGACTGAGAATTTTACCTTAGTTTTTCTTAGATTTGGTAGATAAACAAACAAAGCCGCTTTCTTTTGACGGCTTATTGTTCCCCAAACTTTGAATGCAGTGAAGATATGGGTGATTGAATTGTTGTAAAATTCTAATTTACTCACATATTAAATGTTTATTGAAATCATCGTATGTCAGCTGCCTATATCTTATTTGATACCATACTATACTAAACCAACTTTTACATGAGTAAATGGAAGTGTTAAGACATTATTTATGAATCACAGCTTCAAGAGAGTTTGGCTTGGCTTGAGAATCTTTGATCACGTTGGTTTTTTATCATTGGACAAAAAATGGAAATGTCATGCCATATGTAAAAGTATGGAAATGTTGATGAAATCAAGAAAATATTGATACCGGTGTAAGTTGGATGGAAATTTTGAATGGAGTGTAAAAAAAATGTCATTGTATCATATTGATTCTTGCTAGATGGATAAATATTGTGGATATTATGATTTAATGCTTGCTGGTACTTGGATATATAATTTACTTGGTCTACAGTACCGACTTGTTCATGTGCTTCAATTGGGATTTTCTTTGTTAAAAAAAAGAAAGGACACTCGTTTATGCTATGATGTTCCTCAAGGGATGTTAACCCTGGAATTGAATATGGTTAGAGTTGATTAGAGTTTGATCTTACTAGTTTGTGTTTTTATTTTGACAGGTAAAACGCAGATATAGGATTGCACCTACCCCAGCATTATCTGAAAAAAGAAGAAATACCTCGACGTATCCTTTTGAGGGAAGACAGGTGGCCTCTGCTTTTGAGGGAAGACGTATGGCATCTCCTTTTGAGGGAAGACCGTTGGTGTCTCCTTTTGAGGGAAGATATATGGCATCTCCAAAATTTGACAATGATGAGGCTACCATCCTGATGAAAGCCCAAATTGATTTGGAGCTTGCGAAGATGAGGACTATGACCCCCAGGGAAGCTACTTTAGCTGCTGCTCAAGCGGTGAAAGAAGCGGAAGCTGCCATTGCTGAAGCTGAAGAGGCAGCTAGGGAAGCTGAGGCTGCTGAAGCTGATGCAGAAGCAGCACAAGCTTTTGCAGAAGCAGCAATGAAGACACTAAAAGGAAGAAATGCTGCGAAGACGGTAAAGTTCACATAGCATATCTTCTTTTATACAGTGAATTCATTGTCTTGGCGTGATTTGAAATGCTAAAGTAGTGAGTTTATAATCTTGGCTTGAGTTTATGCTTGCTTTTAGCAAAAAGACAGTAATTATTTTGACAATTGAAATTCGCATGTGCAAATGGGTTGAATGCTTGTTGAGTGAGTTTGTTTACTTTACTATCATTAGAGAAATCCCCTTTGTTGTTAAACACAAGTTATGTTCATCCCCACCCAAAACCTCTCTTTGCAACTGCACTCCAACGAACACACGTATTCTGTATTTGTTGATCCTTCTAATATATATTTGTAACTGTCATTGTAGTAGTTGTGGATATATCTGCTGTTCGGTCTAGTTCTGCATTTGTTTTTTCGTTTAATGATTATGATGAGGTCATACATGCCTACTCTCTCGCTCTCTCTGTTCTAATTTTGATTATTGTAGAGGGTTTAGGGTAATTGGATTATAACTTTGTCTGATTCTCTTTACCAAGCTTTTGAATTAAATTTCATTTTACTGTCAATATATGCAGATGAATCGTCCCTCAATGAAGTTCGAAACATGCAAGAGCAATGAACGAGAAGTTTCTTGAGACCGGACGTATGTTGTTTTATTGTAATTAAACTATGTTACCAAATTCACCTACAGAGACAGGTGATTTGTATTTTGATTAGTTTCATTGTAGGAAAGTCTGGTTCATGGCAGTTTTCATTTCCTTTTGCAAACCATAAATCTGCGTCGAAATGCAGAAAATTAGGACTCACAGTGGGATAGAAAAGTTAATTTAACAGCATCTCTTTTGTTGTTGTAATTGTCTTGTTATTTTTTCTTTTCCTTGTTTTTCTTGGTCTTCAATATAGAAGCGGAGGCGGCTGTCATCTTCATCTTTGAAGGTGATTTTTGCTATCCACCACGCTCCGCCCTGCCCTGCGCGTTTAGAGTGGGGTCTTTCCTGCTAACCAGAGGGCAGAGGGCATATGCTGTTATAGATTGAGTTAGTTCATTCATCTGCAACAATATGTATATGCTTTGGATCGTACTGTTTAGTCTGATTCAATGATAAAGTTTTGTCCTCTTTGTTTTGAGCTTATATTCATGTTATAAGGATGATTGGAATAATATAGGAAAATTGACAGAAATGGGTCATTTCCTTAATCTTAAGACTAAAGTAGGATTTTTGAGATATGCACAGACTATGCACATAGATTTTTCTAAAACTGGATATGATAGAAATGGGCCATTTCCTCAATGATTGTTGTTTTTATTTCCTTTTGTGGGAACATGAAATCATTGGAGAGCTTGAAAAAAAATTTACATTGAAAATTTAAGTGGTATGCAATGCTTTTAAAATAGGTTACTTAGTACTGCAGTTTAGTGATATTTATCTTCATTTGTAAGTGAGAGGTCTTAGGTTTGATTCTCGCAAAAAGTGAATTTGAATCACATTATTGCTAGCTCATTGTGAGGTTTAATCCACTCTCCCATCCCTTTAAATAATATCGTTTGTTAAAAAAAAAAAAAAAAACTTTAAATAGACTATCAGGCCATCCAGGGGCTAAAAGATTATGTCTAGAGCAACTCCACCCCAAGAAAATAACTTGGGCTATTAGAGCATTTCCAGTGAAGTCCCTTAATAAGTCTTTACCATGCTTTACCACCGTATGTCTTTAAATTTAGGGACTTTGTGAATTCTAGTGGGGCGGAGCTCCAGTCCCTATGGTATAGGAATTGGCCGGAGTACTAAAAAATTTCCTCACATTTGAGGACTATACATAGGGATAACTATGAGTGGGGATGGAGGCCCACCCACGTAAAAGGTTACATGCTTCTTCCAAATATTGGGTTTGAGTGATGTTGTAGCTCATCCACTTGCTCCAGCAGTGCAGGTGGATGCTAGTCGCCAGATAGCTGTAGGCTGAGTCTCACATATTTTTATTTATTTTTTGTATACATGAACGTTCCAGATTTAACCTAGAGTTTTTTTTATTATATAGTCCTTAAATTTAGGGTTTATACTATAGAGACTATGTCATTGGAGAGAATATTCTTTTAAGGACTCGAAGATTCTCTTTAGTATGTAAATAGAGAGATTATATTCACATACTCCAAATTACTTTCTCCCACACCCCTTTAATTTTTTAATATTTTCTACACACCACTAACACTTGATAGAAACAAATTAAAAGGTGTGGGAGAAGTAATTTGGGGTGTGTGAATATAATCTCCCTCTAAATAAGTCTTCAAAGGTGGGGGTGGGAGTCTTTAAATAGGGACTCCCATTGAAGATGCTCTTAGGCAATCCAATCCCCCAACCTTCTCAAAATCACTCCTGCCTTACCAAATCAATTAGGCTTCAGGGGAGCTCGACAGACCACACGGGCTAGAATTGCCCAACCCACTAACTAAGGTGATATGACGTCAGCCACGATTTTAAATTTTTATTTTTGTCAGGCGCATGACTTTCACTTGTGTAAGAAGGAGAGTGAGCTGACGAAAAGCGGGCGGCAAGGCCCACTTGCAGGCACTCAAATCCATCCTAATGGTTAGGACATATGTCCAAACTTGGGTTGTTGGATTTATAATCAACTATCGATTTTTCTCTTCAAAAATTAAAAAAAAAAACAAAGAAAATTAGAAAATAAAATTTAAAGTTATTGTTGGGTGACGTGACACAATCTAGGTTGTTAGATTGCAACAAAAATTTATCCAACAGTCTATATTAATAAAGTTCGCTAAAGATTATAAAAGAATTCAGAAAATAAACTTAAAAGTTATAAAAATACACAAAAATCTACCCGAAAATTTATCCACAAAAATTGTATTTTTAGATAATAACACATGGTAGGACGAGATAGGTTAAAAATCATATCGGAAAATTAAAAATAAAATTATTTTTTCTTATTTGAAACACTTTTGAATAGAAATACTTTTTATAGAAGCATTTTCAAACGGATTATTAAAGATGAAATCAAATAAAATTTCTCAAAGTTTTATTATCCACCAAAAAAGGTAATTTATTGAACTAAAACTAAAAAATATTTGGCAAAAACGACAACAATAAAATACAAAGAGGAAAACCCCCTAGTTTGACATTCTGTGGTTTTACACATTTTCTTGCAGCAAGCAAACGAAGCAAAACGAAAGCAAACTGCCCCTCTTCGTCTTTCTCTTCCTCTTCCTCTTTCTCTCCCTCTCCGGCCTTGAATCCGAATTCCTCCCCGCTGCTCTTCTCGTCGTTCCTATAACATATTCAGGTACCAAAAACCCTAAATTCATTCAATTCCAATTGTTTTCACTTGCTTTAAGTATTGATATGTATGAAATTGTTGCGCCTGGAGATATAATTCTGTCCAATTTTGGTTATGGGGATTCTTGCGATACCCAAATTGTGAAACGCTGTCGACTTTGCTTCAATCTGAAGGATACAATCTTGCATATGGGTTGGTTATGGTAATTGGTTAAGTTTATTGTTTGATGCTAATGGGTTTTACGGTTTAACCTCAGTTTCTGTTTCTAGCAATGGATGAATGATTTAAGCGACAAGGAATCGTTGTTGGCTCGGATTCATCAGCTCGAAAATGGTATGTGCTATTTGATTGCGTCTTCAATCTCCACTCTATGTTTTCTTATAGAATTGGTTTTTGACTATTCGTTACGCTACGTGAAATCGGAAGTTGGTTTTGTGTGGTCCTGCTTGATGTTGCAAACACATAATTTGTGCTTCTGTATATACTGTGTTGTTCAGTTTGTGACCCTCAGTGGTGTTCCAGAGTCGAGTCTATACTAAAATGTAAGGTAAAATATGGGGATTATAATGTTTCACAGAGCGTGATGAATTGCGCAAAGACATTGAACAACTGTGTATGCAACAAGCTGGACCAAGCTACCTTGTTGTGGCCACTAAGATGCATTTCCAAAGGTATAACTTTCTGTTCCCAATCAAGAGGGTCGAGTTTTTTTCCCTTGCGATTTCCTCTTTCGTCTTCTTCTTTTTATTGAAGGGTTCGAAAGGCAAATTTGTAACCCATGGCCCATGGGGTGGTACTGCCAAGAAAACTAAAAATATGTTTTGCATTAAAATTTAATGCCATATTAGGACAGCTGGTTTGGAGCAGGAGATTGAAAACTTGAAAAAGAAGCTAGCTGCTTGCACGAGAGATTATGTGAATCTTCAAGAGGAGCTTTCTGAGGCTTACAGAATCAAAGTGTGACCTTTAACTTTCTTCCCTTATGAGTGTAACTGCTTATGAAAGCTAATATGTGTGCTTTATACCTCCAGGGCCAGTTGGCTGATCTACATAGTGCAGAGGTTGCAAAGGTCTCTCTCACACGAAAGCTCTTTTGCATCTCAATCATCAGCAGAATCGTTCTGATACATACGAAACATTACATTTTTAATTATGGAATGAGTGCAAATTAATTTCATGGTGACATTCTTGGGTCTGATATATTGAATTTGTTTGCCTAGAATGTGGAAGCAGAAAAGCAGCTTAAATTTTTCCAGGGCTGTGTGGCTGCAGCTTTTGCCGAACGAGATCATTCAATAATGGAGGTTACAGCAGCTGTCCTTTATTTTAAGCTTATTTTCTGCATGCATGGCACTTAAATAAGTACTTGCCTGCATGAAGTATTTATGAAAATCAAAATTTTACATATGTTACGTGGCTTATCACAGGCTGAGAAGGCTAGGGAAAAAGAGGATCTCATGTCAAACAAATTATGTGATATAGAGAAGAGGTAATACTGGCCTTGCACGAAAGGAGAATTGATTATTAGCAGCAAATATTTGAAAATAAACGCTATACTTTTACTTTCTTCAATCTTGGGTTTCTGTCTCATATATGTTAGGCATCTACGTGTTATTTCGGGAACTTATGATTTGGCATTTTCATTAATTTCCTGAGTTGTCATGCTGTTCTTGGAGCTATAAAGCCAAGATGAAACTCTGATGCAAGTGACAGCCTACCTCTTTCTTGATGAATGTGCATCTAATTTGTGATACAGATTAGAAGAACTTACTGCAGATTTTTCTAAACAGAAGAAGCTTAGTGATAAACTGCAAAGTGATTTAGCAATGCAAGAGGAGCAGATTGAAGCTTTCAAGAAGGTGACTTTCTATAATGTTCAAATCATGATGCATGGCAACTTTCTGAATGCACGTTTCTAAATCGTGAAGAAACATCTGATGTATGCTCGTAAGGATGTAAAGATGTTGCATGACGAATCATATATAACTGCACTTTCAGTCCCAAACAATGAGCAAGCTATCTTTCCACTCATATTTAGCAAATAGAGAACATATTGCATGATTTTTCAAAGACGTGTATGTGCTCAAGGTGTAGCTAGAACTATTTTAACGTTGACCACTGTTCTCAGTTTTGTTTCTTCGTTTTGTACTCGATTTATGTTGCTCTCAATTTCTACCTTTCATTTGTCCTATTTTTGCTTGGTTCTTTTTGAGAATGATTTTTGCGTAGTTGTTAAGGAGATATTATGTTCATAACAGGTAATTGACAAATTTTATGAGATCAGACAGCAAAGCCCCGAGGGATGTGAAGATACAAGTTGGGACAGAAAATGTGCATGCCTTTTGCATGATCCTGCAGAATGGTGGTGTTTCAAGGATGCTTCCACATCTAAATATATTGTAAGTTTGCACAACCCTCTACTTTTCATTCTCTTCAAAGGGTAAATGGATAACTATATCAAACTATAAATTTATGTTAACCTAAGTTTGAGTTAGTGGAGATGGTAGATCTAAAGGATTAATTTAAGAATACCAAATATTGAACATCTCTTTGCTGAGGACATAAAACCATTAGCAACTGTAGATTCAACAAGAATTATAGATTGACTGTGCTCTTTGAGAACCTTGTGAATCAAAATAGAATTTTGTTGTCTTAATTAGTTTTCCAGATTGAACTGACATCATGTTTGCAGTTGAAAATTTTGCCTAATTTATTAAAAAATTTGCAGTTGTCACTAGATTAAGATTTTATGTCCTGTATGCAACTTGAGTAACTTATCCTCAGACAGAGTGCATTAGAGGAAGAGCTCGAGAGGATGAGGAAATCTGTAGATAACCTTCAATACAGGCAACGGATGGTAAGCAACTTGCTTCATACTTATCAGCATTACGTTGCAGACTAATTTTTATGGTCTATTTTCCAAAAATTGATCTTCTTATGGCATGTAGGGCTTGGAAATCGAAAATCATTTAAAGCGGAGAGTTGGCGAATTGGAAAAGAAAAAAGTAAGTTCTTGCTTGAAAAAATAAGGTTCAATCTCAATTTCTTTCTTTCTCATTAAAAAAACCTCAGCATCGTTCTTACTTTAACTCTGGTTGGCTTACATGCAGATCCTCACATATAAAATGATAAGGCATGAGATTACAGAATTGCATCATTACCATTCTCAGCATAGAGTTCTCATCATGAATTTACTTGATGAGGGAAAGGCTAGTATCAAAACAATAATTGATGCAATAAAGGAAAATAGTAGGCAAATTGATGCGACCCGACTTGAAAAGGAGGGGCCTTCTCCGCGAGATATAAAGCACGACAAATATGAAGGCCAAGAGGTGCATAAAAATACCGATGCTGATCCCCAATTGGTATCCAAGGTTTGTTTACTGCACCTTAATAGAGTAATCTGCTGACTACTGTCAATGATGTTTGATAGTAGACATCTTTGTGGACTTTGATGGGAAGTAGTACTTTTTGCGCTCTGTGGTTGGTGAACTCAATTTTCTAGTTAGAATAATAGTGACGAGAAGTTCGGAGGATGCAGTTTATCTGAGTTTGCACCTACATTTTTTCGTCCCTTATCTATTCCATACTGATTGCAGAATAGTGGTCCTGACTCATCAGAGTTTGTGGCAGTTAGAGGGAATGATTCCTCCGAAGTCCTTGCACAGGCATTGCAAGACAAGGTTATTTGCTTATATCTTTTTCTTGAAATCTGTTGGTTCTTTTTCTTGTGACTTTGGAACGATTGTACTGATTTGCGGTTGCTTTTCTTTAACCATGAATGTTTTTCAGGTCTCAACGTTATTGCTTTTATCACAGCAGGAAGAAAGACATTTACTTGACAGGAATGTGAATGCAGCTCTTGAAAGAAAAATAGAAGAGCTTCACAGAAGTTTACAGCAGGTAACTTCTTTGAAGTGCCCCTCCTGCAACTTTTCACCATTGAATGGAGTGTCTGAATTTAACTAAACTATTCTGCTTATTAGTTTGGGGGTGTTGTATGCAATTTACTGGTAACTCATGAAATTTCTTGTGAAAGGCTGCAGTATAGATATGACACTGTTATCCAAGCTAACTATTGTGAAGTTTCATGTGGATGCCTGTAATGTGCTCGTGTGCTTTGTTGTTAATTTGGCCACTCGCTTTAACATGGGACCTTATCTTTTGATGTTATCACTATGTCATACAATGTTCAAGCATTTCAATGGTGATCTTCATTGACCACTTGCGTTTTTGCTGACTCCAGATACTTCCATCTTATTGTGGTAGTTTGATATTTCATTATTTGCATGAATATTTGTGGTTCAAATATGAATTTGCCTGTTCGATGTGACCTTAAAAGTTTAGTACAATTGTTGTTTGGGTTCATTGATGAACTGTCCAATTATTTCTTTTTGCTTCAGGTTACGAATGAAAAGGTAAGAGCTCTAATGGAGTTTGCACAATTGAAGCAGGATTATCATCAGCTTAAAGAGTTAGATTTCTTCTTTACTTTTCGAAATGTTTGCATCATAGATGGTTATTAATTCTTCTTTTATTTGAGGAGAACCTTCTTCTTTGCCTTGTAGTGATTTTTTGCTTCAGTACTGACAGTACTATCGATGATAATGTGCAGGAGAATGGGTCAGGGGACAAATAGAGAAAATTTGGCCGCTGAAATTGGGGAGAGGAAGGTAGTAACTCGTGAAAGAGATGGAAGGCTAAAAAGTTTGCTGAAGAAAACGTACTTGAGTCGTTGGGCTGGTAATGTAGACTTTAGGGGACATGAAGCTGCAGGTGGCCAAAATGTCGAGGGGAATCTATCTGGCAAGGGGTCCAATAGCATGGAGTTTGCCAGGTTTGTGAATATAGTTTGGGTTAATTTGAGTTCAATGATACTACCGTGTATGTGTGTTCTTGACATGCATCACCGTTGATTTTGCCACTGACATGATGGTAGATAATTATATGACATCAAAGTCCTTTTTCGTCCTCAATTTTTGTCTTCTCAGAATGAAAATTGAAATAGCAACACTTCGAGAAAGCATGGGAAGTATGGAGCATCTGACTACGACAGTTCACAGGCTTCGTCTATCCCTTTCAAAGGTCTGATGGAAGTTTAAGATGTTTTTGTTTTTCATATGGAAAACTTTTACTCTAACGTAATTAGTCAATTGCTAGCATTGAAACTCTGTTTGTCCATCAAAGGCTAGGCGGTTTAGCCGTTTTCCTTTTGTCTACTGTTTGAAGTTAAGGTGTTCAGTATTTCTGCTGTAATCTACTGTATAGGCCAAAGAGTTGGTGACTTCTGGAAGTACAGCAGTTGCTAGCCTATCAGAAGCCGTCAATGGCATTATTAATGAGGCAAAACTAGTGAAGACTGCACTTAGCAGCTCCCTGCCGATTAGTTGGTCAGCAGACGAAGACGATGGAGTTAATCGTCAGAGTGTCAGCAATGAGCCAGGTCATGCTTATGGGAAGGCCAGTCATGAGAAGATAGATTCTGTTTATGCTGCCGGATTTGAGATGGTGGAGCTCCTAATACTTGCAGCGCAAATATTGAAAGACAACACGAGCAAAACTGGTTCCTAACTGAAATGGGAATGGTCTACTGTAACTTGGGTAAAATGGTTCATGATGATCGGTTAGACGCCAAAGCATAACTGGTACCCCTGAACAAATTGATGCTAACGGGAGAGTCGGGTACACTGAGAATTCTTCAAGAAGTAAAAAATGAAACTCAGTCGTCGAGGGCCGAATGCAGATTTGTGCAGTATCTTGTCATTGTACATTTGTAACCGGTTGCATTGTAAATCTGTTTTCCGTTGAGTGATTAGGGGTGTTTAGGGAATTCAGTACCTCTCAGAACATGCTTTAGATGCATTCATCTGTTGTTCATGGACAGTATAGTGATTAGGGGTGCTTAAGGTAAACACTAAACACTAGATAAGAGGTCAGACACCGTATTCACAAGAAACAAGCATAGCGCAAAAGGATCAATTGGATCAATGCGATAGCATAAAAACACTAATCACAGATTTAAGATAATTTCAATTTGAACCTATAAATATTAGCTGTGACGGCGTTTGGGTGCAGAAGATGAAGTGTTTGATCCACGGATGTGAAGTTAAACAACTCCAGCTTCTTTGATCCACGGATGCAAGATATGAAGAGTTGGATTCTTGAAATGTTATTGATATCGTATAAGGTTGGTCTAACAGGGTACTACACACGTGAACTTAAAACTCACGGCATCTAGTTATCCAAAGACACTGTTTCCCACAACAGTTTTGAAGCTAACTGCACTAAATATTAGCAAGACACCATTAGATTTGCACACTAGAGAACCCTACCTGACAATCGTACAACAGAAAGCATAAGTGTTCAGGATCAAAGAGAGTAAATCAATACTCAACTTTAAGCTAATTAATATAAAGTCCCCATTGAATATATGATAAGGGCCCAAAGGTTTCAAATTCCACATTCATACCCATGTGCCAGGATTAGCATTACCAAGATTGTGCTTGCCAAACGTGAACTAAACTAGCGTGACCACGTCATCCCTAGGGCACCCAACTTTAGGAGAAAACTTGGGTAGGAATACCCCGGGTCCCGACTATGTCATTCCTCGAACACCTCTCACAAAACCCTTGGACCAGACCCTTGTATTTTGCTTCCACCCAACCTCACAATGGTCTCGTCCCATGTGGTTTGGCTGCCAACCAACCCCGTCCCACGTGAGAACTGCCGTACACAAGAACAGGCAAATTGAAAAGGAAAGCAACTGGACGCATGCAGCTATAACAAAGGAAAGCATTCCTAAACCAAAGTAATTATCATTAGGACGTATAATTAGCATGTCGAGGGCATTTGGTCTAGTGGTATGATTCTCGCTTTGGGTGCGAGAGGTCCCGAGTTCGATTCTCGGAATGCCCCTTTTATTTTTCCAACTTTTTGCTTTGCCTCAAGCGAGTCGGCACAACGGAGGAAATCGAGAAATAGAGAGAGGACTCAAATTTACTAAATATAAGGAGTTACTTGTAAGTATCCGGAACAATTACTTGTGCAAATTGCAATATTTAACAAACTAAAAAGCAAGGAGAATACTTCCATCAGATGTGTAATTATAAAAGGAAATGAAACCCAAATAACTCATTAAGCTACTCTTTTCTCACCTGAAAAATGTTCCACCCGCTTGGAATTTCCGACGACTGATCATTCTTATCATCTCCGGACTTCCTCAAATACACACCAACAAAACGGAAAAGGCAATTTAACTTTGGCGAGCGAAGAAGGCATGAGAGAGAGAAGAGAGAGAGAGAGAGAGCGAGCGAGAGCGAGAGCTAGTGGTGTTGGTGTTGTTAGTGGGTTTTGTGCTCAAAAGGTTTTAACCCAGAATGGAATCTCTCTCTACTGTGGCCTCTGTTTGCTTTGGCGCCACGTGGGTGTTCCTTACCCTTTAATCTATCGCCTTCCAAGCGGTAGACGGTCAAGTTTATTATATTTTGTTATTTAATATAAAAAATGTTAGCAACTTTTCTATTATAGTCAATGTTAGGAAATCAAATTTTATCTTCTTCTCTTATTTATTTATTTTTTAACTGGAAATGACAACGATTTTCATTACTAATAGTAACAATTACAAAGGTTGCCACATGAATACAATTTCCAGTGACCAAATATTCGACTAGAGATAATTCGCACAAACAAAGTAATGATGACAAACCCCTAATTGGCTACGACACTAGCACAAGCATTTCGGTACAAATCTATCAAAAAAAGCCAGACGCAACAAACATATACCAGAGCACACGTAATATCATCGCCACACAAGTAAGACAACATCAAACCATTGCTAACGAGGGAAGCTAAATTTTGTTAACCAAATTATGTGTTTGTTGATGATTAGATTAACTAACGTGCTTATTTTTGTAATAAATAACACATCATTTGATTTACAAATTTAGTATTCCAGTGTTATCCTTTGCATTTTTGGACCTTTTCATTTGTTTTCAATGACACAATGTCATTTTTAACACAAAAGATCACATTATTTTTTTTACTTCTTCAAATAACACGTGTCATTTTATTACCCAAATGGTAAGTGCAAATGTTGCTAGCACTCCCATTGATACAATTATACGAGAATGCCCACTATTGATACAGTTAGTTGTGGGACTCACATCACATCAAACTTCAACAATCTGAACCGTCTATTTGTTAAGTTGCACCTCATAAATCATCCTTACAACATATTAGCCAAATCAAAACTATTTCAGACACCTAATTGAGTTCAAATAAATTTTGATATTTTCTCTTCAGATTCTTATGGCATGTTTACGGACCTGTGATTGAAATAAAATACTAAATTGGATTCTAATTACACTTTACTTCTGTGTTTACCTAACATAGAGGAATAAAAATTCATGCAAGGTCTTCACAAATGCTAGAATCCAACTTCTCTTTTTGAAGGATTTGGACTCACTAGATGAATTAATTATTTGAATTTTGCGATATATGTGGAATCTGGAATGAACTTTCCCTTCATTAGGGTCGTCACCTTCTACCCAACTAGTGGATGTATCCACCATTTCCTTTGTTTGTTAAGCTAGAAGGGTATGGAGTGGCTCTAAGGTGGGTTTTCTGATGGCGGTACACAGATTGTCTAGGGCCTGAACCCTTGTACATAAATGCTTTTGTCCAAGAATATGATGTTCTATTATTGGTATTTTACCAACTATGTCCTCACTTAGGTTTTTATTATTCCAACAATTGCCCTTCATTTAACAAGAGAGACTCGTCCAACGCTGCAAATTGTCCGTCTCCCTCACCACCGCAGCCTCCCCCACCCAAGGCCACATCTCATACCCACTGCAACCACTCCCAAACATCTCTCTCTGTTTATCCCTAGAGAATCTTGTAATCAAAACACTGGATGTGAGAGAGAGAGAAGAGAGAGAGAGAGAGAGACAAAAAGAGAGAGTTACGGTGTGGCAGCGGCGGTACACAATTAGTTTGGCAAGTTTTTTACAGGAAATTAATTGATGTTTTTTATTAATTAAAGTTTTTAACCAAAAAATTATAAACTCAATTTCATTTTTAATTTGATTTCAGTCAATATAGGTAAACAGCTGCAACATGAATCTGATTCTAACCCATTGCCATTCCAACTCCCCTTCTTTTTAGTTCATTCTCAATCCAATTCCTCTTATTTTGATTATGATTACGTGCCATTAGATGTTATTTCGCTCATCGTGGCTTTTCATGCTGACTTTCATGGAATTTAGAGCTTGTTTAGAAGTGCTTTAAAATGGTTAAAAGCATTTTTAGTGAAAATATTTTTGGAACCAATTCTTAGAAAAAATGTAAGTAAATCTTGAAAAGCACTTAAAGTGTTTATTGGAAGAAGCACATAACTGATACTTCTTGCATGTGAGAATTGAAGAAATGTAGAGATTATGCAGAAAAGAATGCAAAGAGAATTAGAAAGAGAGCTTGAGAGATTTTGTGAATTATTCTTTCTTCAGTAACAAGTAATTGTTTTACAAAGAGTCTTATATACTAATCCACTACAAAGCTTGCTAGTTAAGCTAATACAATGTGCTAGCACCATAATACAACAAACTACAATCCTAAAAACCTTTATAACAACCTCTTCATCTAATGACACATGGCATAATCTTAACCATTGTATTATTTTCACTTGGATCACTAGCTTTGATATCCTTACATCCTCCCTCAAGCTCATGCTTCATGGAACTGAGCATGAGATTGCTGCAATGTTGATAAAACAATGATGATGATAGCCATTTGGTTAGAATGTCTGTGAATTACTCTGCAGAAAACAAATGTTGAACATGAAGATCACCTCTTGTGATTTTTTGTAGAACAAAATGGTAGTCAATTTCGATGTGCTTTGATTTTGAATGAAAGACTGGATTTGTAGATAATGCTATGGTCGAGATGTTATCACAATATAACATTGGAGATGTGAGAAGTGGAATATGCAAATTACAAAAGAGCTGTCTTATCCAGGCAAGTTCAGATACTATGATAGCCAATGCCCGATACTCAACTTCAATAGATGAGCGTGACACTGTATGTTGTTTCTTTGAGGCCCAATATATGGGATTGGATAAAAAAAAAAACACAACAAAGAAGTGGAACTGTAGACATCAAAATTTTGGTAAAATAAATGTTGATCAATGCATTAAAATTACAACCTCCACTCATTTCACCTACATCATCCACTTACTTCACCAAGAAAATTTGTGGTGGTGATTCATTCTCAAAGCCTATAAATATGCTTCTCCATCAAGGTATCAAGGATCCAAAAAAAAATCAACCAATTCACATTACACCAAAACCTTGGAGCCTTGAAACTCTAAACTCTCAAGCAAATCCCGAAGGATTAAGAAAGCCCTTTTCGTTCTTTGTCAAATCGTCCTTCAAGATCAAGCCCCGACGACCCTTGAAGAACTTCCACCAACTCAAGATCAAGCCCCAACAACCCTTGAAGAAAGTGTTCATCGTTCATCCTAAGATCAGGCCCCAACGGCCCTTTATATCAACAACACAAACAAATCCACACATCTATTCTTCAAGATCAAGCCCAAAAGCCCTTGAAAAAAAAACCAACTGTTCTTTCAAGATCAAGCCTCGACGGCCCCTTGAAGAAACCCAACCGTTCTTCAAGATCAAGCCTCGACGGCCTTTGAAGATCCGTTCATCACCGTTCTTCAAGATCAAGCCCAAAAGCCCTTGAAGATCCGTTCATCACCGTTCTTCACTAGATGAAGACAAGGATCTTACCTTAATGAAGAAAGAAGTAGAAAGGAGCAGAGGTGGCTGTATTGATTATCCAATGCAGAGGAAGTTGTCAAATGCAAAAAGAAAATGGAAGGCTGGAGTCTGAATGTAGTGTGAAGGTAAGGGTCAGAGAGTGAGAGTGGAGGTCGAGAGAGAAAGAGAGAGAGAGAGAGAGAGATTTGCGGGTCTGAACTGAAAGGGGTATAGGAGTAGGGAGGGAAGGAAGTGAAGGTGAGGTGAGGTCAGAGAGTTTGGCAGAGAGGTTAGAGAGTAAAGGTGAAGGTGAGGTTGGGTTTCATTTTGAATGAACTGTTGAGATTAATTCTGAACCAATCCAACGGCTTATAATATCTAAAACTATATATATGTTAACTTCGGTTCGGTTTGGGAATACTGAAAAAATAAGATTGAGAGATTGATTCCTGTACCGAAAAGTTTGGGATCGGTACCAAAATTTTTGGGATTTTTTTGGTTCGGTTTCAAGATTTTTTTCGGTACAGTTTGGGATTTTAGGTATTTTTTTCCACCCCTAGTTGTACTAGTTCTAATGAAATGTGGGTGAATCTCAAGGAAAGGTTCTCATCTATGACTAAAGTAAGTATCTTTCAATTAAAGACTGAGCTTCAGAACATAAAAAAAAGGTCTGATTCAATTTCTGAGTACCCACAGAAGATTAAAGATGCAAGAGATCATCTTCCAGCAGCTGGGGTTATTTTTGAAGATGATGATATCATCGTTCTTCCTCTCAAGGGTCTCACTGCAGAATACAACACATTTCGATTTGTTATAAGAGGCAGGGAAAATGGCATCTCCATTAAAGATTTTCATTCTCAGTTGATTGCTGAAAAAGCAACTATCAATCAATCTCTGGAGTTTAGTATGTCTTTTGGCACTACAATGGTAACAAGCACTCAAGCTTCAAAAGGGAAAGCATTAGTTCTTGGTTCTAGTTCCACAGAGTCGAACACATATGGTTCATCTTCTGGAGGTGGATCTACTCAACCACATAGCTCAAACAATCAAGGTTATTACACCGGCAATCAAAATGGTGGCTACAATAATGGTCCACATAACTACACTGGTGGTTACAATGGTAGATACATAAGCAATAGTTATAGAGGTGAAGGTAGAGGGAAAGTAAACTACAATTCAAGGTCAAGATTCAATACACCAAACAACCACCTTGGAATTCTTGGCACTTCTAAACCTTATCAATCAACTTGTCCTGACCATCATTTTGAAATTCCAACATGCCAAATCTGTAGCAAAAGAGGACACATTGCAGCTGACTATTTCCAAAGGCATACATGTTATTCTAATAGCTCTTCATCACTTATTCAATGCCAGATTGACTGGAAATTTGGGCATACATCAATCTAATGTTATAGCAAAGGTAATTTTGCCTATCAAGGAAGGCCTTATGCACCTTTTCTTAGTGCCATGCATGTGAATCATCACCCTTCAGCTCCGCCACATCAATTTTGAATTGTTGACATTGGAGCTACATGTCAATTGACATCTGAGCTTGCTAATCTTGAGCTAGCTAACCAATATCAAGGCACTGACACAATAACCATTGCTAATGGTGCAAGTTTGGCTATTACCAAGATTGGTTCTTCAAAATTGCATACTCCAAATCATACTTTTAAGTTAAAAAATGTTCTTCATGTTCCAAAATTGTCACAACATTTACTCTCCATTTATCAACTCTGCAAAGACAATATATGCAGGTTTATATGTGATGAAATTTCTTTTTGGGTTAAGGAAAAGATCATAGGGATAATACTCCTCAAGGGGTTATGTAGGGATGTCTATTATCCTATTCCATTTTACATACCAAAGCAGCTGTTATCTGTATCATCTCACAAGCATGCATGCTATCTTGCAAAGCCAGTACATACAACCTTATGGCACAAAAGACTAGGACATCCATAAAATACAATCATTTCTGTTATATTATACAATAATCAAGTTCTTGCATCACAAGATAGTACTGCAAACATTTGTACACCTTGTTTAGAAGGAAAAATTGCCAAACTACCTTTCTTGTATTCTTCAAATAAGTCTGTACTACCTTTAGAAGTCATTCACAGTGATGTATGGGGACATTCCCCCTTGTTATTTGTTGAAGGTTTTAGGTACTATGTAACTTTCATAGATGAATGTACTCGATATACATGGATTTTTCCATTACATAAAAAACAGAAGTGTTTCCAATATTTGTTCAGTTCAATGCATATCTGTACTCAATTCTCTGCAAAAATGAACGTTTTTCAAAGTGATGGGGGTGATGAATATATAAGCAACAAGTTTAAAAGCTATCTTCTTGATAATGGAATTATACACTAATTTCTTGTCCATACACCCCAGAACATAATGGACTTGCAAAAAGAAAACACAAACACATTATTGAGACTGCTATCACTTTACTACAAATTGCGCATCTTCCTTCCAAATTTTGGTTTTATGCTTGTGCTACTACAACTTATGTAATCAATCAAATGCTTTGTGCTACTTTAAAAATGAAATCTCCCCAATTGTTGTTATATGGTCAAGTTCCTGGTGTAAGTCACTTTAAAATCTTTGGATGAGATTATTTTCCATTACTTAAACCATATAACGTAGATAAGTTTCAACTTAAACCATGTGCTTGTTTTCTTACATTGGCTGCTTAATTCAAATGGCCTCTTAGGCAATTGGATATCAAAAATGACTTTCTGCAGGGTGTTCTCCAAGAAGAAGTTTACATGGAACAGCCTCCAGGTTTTATCAATGACCAATATCCATCAAACTTTGTGTGCAAGTTACAAAAGTCTCTCTATTGGACTTAAACATGCTCCAAGATCATGGAATTAATGATTATAAGTTTCTTATTTGGGTTTGAAAGTTCATGAGTTGATCCATCTTTGTTTGATATGAACAATCATTAAAGATCTCACTGCATCAATCAAAAACTTAAATCAACAACTCAAATCAACAATCATTAAAAATCTCACTGCAGAATTTGATATGAAAGAGTTGGGTCAATTGAACTACTTTTTGGGATTACAAATTAGTTATACACCAGAAAGGCTCTTTGTGTCTTAATCAAAGAATATATCAGAATTAATAAACAAAGTTGATATGCAGGATTGTAAACCTTGTCCTACACCATGCTTGCCATATCAAGTTATTAAAAGATGATGGAAAACCATATCATAGCCTTGAGCATTAGAGAAGCATTGTAGGTGCACTTTAATATCTTACCTTCACAAGACCTCATATAGCATTTTATATCAATCAAGCATGTTAGTTTATGCACAATCTGATGGAATCACATGTTGTAGCTGTTAAAAGAATTCTTAGATATCTCAAAGGTACTTCAGACTGTAGCATTCACTTCAAATTAGGACCACTTCATCTCCAGGCATACAATGATGCAGATTAGGCAAGAGATCCCAATGACAGAAGTTCTACTTCCGTTTTTGTTGTGTTTTTGGGATCCAATCCAATATCTTAGGCCTCAAAGAAACAACATACAGCGTCACGCTCATATATTGAAGCTGAGTATCAGGCATTGGCTATCACAACAGCTAAATTTGTCTAATAAGACAACTCTTTTGTGATTTGCATCTTCCACTTCTCACATCTCTAATGCTATATTGTGACAACATCTTGGCTATAACATTGTCTACAAATCCAGTCTTTCATTCCAAGTCAAAGCACATCAAAATTGACTACCATTTTGTTCGAGAAAGAGTCACAAGAGGTGATCTTCATGTTCAACATGTGTTTTTTGCAGAGCAATTCACAAACATTCTAACCAAAGGGCTATCATCATCATTGTTTTATCAACATTGCAGCAATCTCATGCTCAGTTCCCTTGAGGGAATATGTAACAATATCAAAGCTAGTGATCAAAGTGATGATCCAAATGAAAACAATACAATGGTTAAGATTGTGCCATGCGTCATTAGATGAAGAGGGTTGTTATCAAGGTTGTTAGGATTGTAGTTTGTTGTAATATGATGCTAGCACATTGTATTAGCTTAACTAGCAATCTTTGTAGTGGATTAGTAAATAAGACTCTTTGTAACAAAACAATTACTCGTTAATGAAGAAAGAACAATTCACAAAAACTCTTAAGCTCTCTCTCTAATTCTCTCTGCATTCTTTTCTGAATATTCTTTGCATTTCTTCAATTCTCACAGAGAGCACTTCAAGTGCTTTTGGAAACAAAAAACATTTCTCTAAAAGCGCTTTTAGTCATTTAAAAAGTACTTCCAAACGGCCTGAGAACGAACATATCTTAAACTTTTGAAAGAGTATATAAGAAGAAGAGCGGCGTAAAGAGTATAAGAAAGAAGATCGTGACAGAGTTAAGAGTACTGCATGTAAATTATTTGTAAATTGATAAAAAAAAAAAAAAAAAATTCAAAATCGATTATTGTTGTAGGAAAGATATTGCTCGCTAGACTTTCAGGGTATCAATACGAACAATTTCCTGTGGTTCAGTTTGTGTGACCCTAAGGTTCAAAGAAAGTGTAGAATTGGTGATGTGGTCTTCTACAGTTATCTCATAATCTCCATGAAACAAGGAAAAATCAACAAAGCCTCGATCATTTGCTGTGATTTCTTGAGTCCCAGACCTCCACTCAGCAATCAGCTTATCCACAACATCTCCTGATGGAGTATTTTTGAAGTTGTTATCTGCAAGGGTGGTAACATTAAAACCCGCTGACAATGGACCTACAAACATGATGATCCCTTTAACCGCAGGATGAGAATATCCCTCCCGTAGTATCTCTTCCAAATATTGAGCCTGCCAACAAATTAAACAAGTGTACAACATCTGCATTTCAAAATGTCATACCATTTTTTTTTTTTTTTTGGAAAAATACGCACAAATAGAACTGAAGAAACACTAAATCTACAATGAAATGGCCCCGATTCTATTTTTATTAAAATTTCGTAACCGATCCTATTTGCACATGTCCCCGTTGCTTACTGCTTTAACAAAATTAGAATACCTGATTAGGGTCTTTTGCCACATCCACTTCTGTAAGCCATATTGGCAGTCCTGTTGCCCCTAACATGTCTATAGTCGATCTCATGTAAGCAAGGTTTGGCTGACCAGAAACAAAGTGGCCTTGCAGCCCTATTCCTGCTGATAGATTTGCATTTCCGGGATATGATAAAATCTCTTGAAGTTTCTTCTTATAGTTGGCTGCACCTGCTTTCATGTCTTTACTATATTCGATGGAGTTATACTCATTCATGAACATAACTGTACTAGGATCAAGCTGTTGAGCTGTGAAGTAGAATTCTGCAGAAGCATTTTTGCCAAGTTTGTCCTCAAAGAATCTGAAATGAAGATTCTCATTCACTACATCCCAAGCAATCAATTTTCCTCTGTACCTAGAAACCACTGAGTTGATTCTCTTTGCTGCTGCTTTTCGTAATTCCTCGGGGGAAAGGGATTTAACCCAGTTGGGCTGGGCGTTGGCATTGTCCCAGAAGACGTTGTGGCCTCTAATCGAAATTCCATTCTGTTGTGCAAATTTAACCATGTCATCTGCAATGGTATAGTTTTCTTGGCCTTGTGTTTTCTCAGTGCTGTACCACTTCATCTCATTGGTGAAAGTTGTCCATTTGAACCTTGACGTGAACCAATTCTGGTAATCAGGGCTTGTGAGGATGAAATGGTTCATTCCACACCCAAATGGGAAGTGTGACTTGACTTGCTTGATGGTGACTTTAGCTCCTTTTAGAGGAGCTTTACTTGCTTGAGTTAGTTGCAACTTCACCCTTTTCTTACGTACCTGCAGGGATTTAAGTGATCAAAATTGTCATGAAATTACATGACATGACATGGTCACAGAACCCGTTAAAGCGATCAAATTCCCCCTCATATGTAAGTATAATGCAGAACAAGAAGGGGAAAATGACTCATTTTTAAGTAGATATCTGTTTGATAATTCTGGAATGATTCTAGCTATGTAAGTTATGATATTGTAATCAATCTAGCGTGTTATCCATAGATTCTATTACTAAGTATACGCCATTGATGTTAAATAGATGTGATTCATCATGCTTGGGTTTACCTCATTGATGCTGTTGTCTTGATGGGATCTCCATTCATCCTTGGTGAAAGGTTGCAATGAGACATTGTCCATCCATATTTCAACTGATGTATTTTCAGCCTACATGAAATGATACATGAAAAGCATAATCAGTCAGCAAACTCATTTAATTTCGACCTTCTGGTGGCGGTGGCATCAATTCGAAAGCAGTGATTCTTTTTAAGTTTGTAGTTTTATCGGATGAATAAAATCCTGAACAAAATGGGAGAACTTTTGAATTTCTAATCAGTTGCGGTGACGATATACAACACAAAGGTTGTCAAAACAAGATGGTTAAAGTCAAAATCAAATTTCAACATACCTCGAATAGAATCTCAACTGGGGTTGTGAAATTTGCTACCATGCCACCTTTTAGCAGGGTCCAGCATCCTTTCTTAGCTATTACATCGCCACCAGGTACAATATCTCCATTGGGAAACTTAAAAACAACAGCTACAATCTCACTTCCTTCACTGACTTGAACAGAAGCTGAAAGTTTTCATAGTTTGGCACAATCAATTAAGAATCATGTAATGATTTACATGATTAAATCACTAAAAAAAATCATGTAAAAAGTAATTAAATCACCTGAACACTATCGGAAGAAACAAGTAGCCAAATCTTAAAACCGTACGAGACATAAATTGTATTCCATAAAGCTTTTTAACTAGTTACCAGAAAAGCTGTAGATTTTCCCTTCCTCGACTTGAACCATCTGCGAGAAACTGTCTAATGGATGTGTTCTATTGTGTGCCACAATGAACCCGTTTCTGTGCTTTGACGTTCTTCGTACTTCTATCCTCCCTTCTCCGAAAGCTTTCCATCCTTCTGTGTTGTGATTAAATTCTGGATTTACTATAATTCCTCCTCCATACAAAGGATCTAGTGGTTCTACCAAGCACTGTTTGATCAAAATTATAGAAAAGGCACCAAAAAAATCAGCTTTTGGCCTATGTTAACTTTAAACAATGTTTCAAAGACTTGCTGAAGCTGGTACTGATATGTATTTCCAAATTTAATTGTTATAGTGACAAACTTTTGGAAGCAAAAGAAATAATAATTGTGGACAGTATAGGAGTTGATTCTTGCTTTTGTAGTTGTCGAGTAGTTGTACGACGAAGCGTGGGTTCCATGCCCTGTAGCAGTTGTAAAGGTTTACATAAGCAAGAATTTATACGACAGAAAAATTGATTGCAGTATGATACCCAAACTAAAGGAGGAAAATAGCTTCTAAATAAACAAGATTAACATCCTAATTAATGCTTAATCAGTTTTCTTTTTGTACAATTAAGAATATTTTGTTCAAATAACATGCAAACAATCTTTTTCTTTTCCATATTCGGTTGGCGCATTATATTTTCGGCAATCTTATGCTTGTGCGTGAGAGGGAGAGAGAGAGAGAGATAGAGAGAGAGAGAGACCGAGAAAGAGAACAATGCATGAAAGAAATAAGGTGCAAACTGTTGTGAACATCTTGATCACTTCACAACACCAACGGCCTTCCTTCCTCACCCAATCGAAAAATATGGTTCAAATTTTGTGGAAGAATGATGGTAATGTCACAAGTGAAGAAAATAAAGTTTGGAGCAAATACTGAACAATTAATGAAAAAGGAGGAAGGAAACCCTGCAGTCCACAGAACAATTAATCAATCTTCAAAACACAACATTATGTGGTATTTATAATGTACTATAGAATTGTGTAATGTGGTATATTAATTTCTAAACTTTTTTTTACATGATTATTTTCCAAACTTATGCTCCCTATTTTGTTCAAATTCTCTTCATCATCCCACATTTGATGCTCTCATGTATTACAGATCATGGGGATTTTAATTACCAAATATAGATACATTCATCCCCCTGCTAATTGAATTTGAAGGTAAATGAAATCTTAACATTCTCAAAATTAGTATTATGTAGTAAATGCATGAATAAGAAAAAAGAATAATTGTCTGGCGTTTCTGAACATTTGATGTTATTAAATCTTTGATTATCCATGTAATGGACATAAATTTGTGTTTTAGGTTCATTCAAATTCGTACTCCATGGCAGTTTTCTAGTAAAAATTGAACAATTGAGAAAACTCTTGGGTAGAAATTGCAGACATTAGTTTAACCCCATTGGCTAAAGTGGGTGTTCTCCGTTATGCGCTCGAGTTCGAATCTCCCCAATCTGGACAGTCTATAGTTTTTTTCGGCCAACTTCCCAAAAGTCTATTGTTTGGAAGGAAAAAAAAGCTGTTAAATAGAAATAAAGAGAAACGAATTAATGTGGCAATAAAGATATTGTTCTGTAGGCTGTTGCGCCAGGATTTTGTGATAATACTGTAGAGATCTATATTTCTTAATATGTACACGTTGTGATGTTTCAGTTTCAAGTATCAATATGAACATGGACAATGGCCTATGGTTCAGCCTATGCAACTCTAAGGCTTAGAGTAGCCGAGGTATTAGCGATGTGATCTTCCGCAGTTATCTCATAAACTCCATGGAACATAAAAGTATCGATAAATCTTTGACCATCTGCTGTGATTTCCTGAGTTCCAGAGTTCCACTCCTCAATCAGCTTATCCACATCTCCTGATGCGTGTTTTTGAAGTTATTCTGCAAGGGTGGTAACATTAAACCAGCTGACAAATAGACCTACAAACATGATGATCCCTTTAACTACAGGATAAGAATATCCCTCGATCGCTAGTATCTCATCCAAATATTGAGCCTACAAACAAATTAAACAAGTGTAAAACTTCTGCGCTTGGAAATGTCATAAGCCAAGGTTTTGGTTTTCAAAATTTTACCTGATTTGGGTTTTATCGACATCCCGTTCTGTGAGCCATATTGGCAACCCATTGTTAATTAATCCAGTCTTTTGTTTTATTATATTCACACCCCACAAATTGTTGAATAAACCTCACATACTTAATAAACCCCACATTTTCTTTTTCAATTAAAAATTATCTTAATACACCACACTTACTTCCCCATCATACTCTCACACCCCACATTCTTAATATACACCTTACATTTTCTATATGTACCCCATATTTTCTATACACCCCACATTTCTCAAATCTTATAAAGCTTTTAATTTGAACAAACAATGCCGACTAAAATTTTGATAAAAGATACCGCCTGAGATTTAAAGCATATGTGGGTTGTTTTCAATTCCACCATTAAAACCTATGTCGTCTGTTTTTAATATTTGGTGGTAATTTTGGGTGTTTAATTCTTCATGTAATCCCCGTGATCCCTAAAAGATGAATACGAACACAGAAGCTTGAATAACGCATCAAAAGTAAGATTAAATAATTATCAATGTCGTCAAAATCCCTAAAACAATAAATAATATGAAGACTTACCTTATGTGAAACTTCCAAAACATCGATTTCGTGTTTCATTCGTCAAAAATAAATTTTCTCAATCAACATGTTTGTAGTTTCATTGGTTAGAGTATTGTTCAATAATGGAGGGTTGGAGGGGTTTTGATAGTTGAAGAAGATAAATAATACGTTAAAAGTGAATTGGGGTGTATATATAATTTTTTTTTTTTAATTTTTAACTTAATAAGGTCAAAATTGTCATTGCATAGTAGGATAAATAAGTTATTTAATATTAAATTTTAATGTGTGGTGCATTCAACATTTTGTGAGGTGCTAATATAAAAAACCAAAAGCATTTAGTATAAATCATTTTTATTAAATACAACATTCACCGGTTTTATTTTTTTGATATTATTCTAGTGTGTGTGACCTACTAGATTTCAATTAAAGCTGGGGGTAGTGGATAGTTTGATTAATCAAATTAATCTAATTACATAGTTAGAACCATTGTAATTCAACCTTGTAGGAATATCCACAAACCAAATAGTAACATCTAGCAATGACTTTTGGCTACCCAAATTAGTCAAAATATGTTTGAATTCATGCAACACTATTTAGAACTTTAGTTACAGTTACAATGCAATTCGGTTTCTCTGTTTGCTATCTTTCGATCATAAATTTTAGAGCATGGAACATTTGTCAAACTCTAAGCATGAATATGATCACCATGGTGTATCTCTTATACATTGCTTTGACCAAAGATTTTTGGAGATAGATCATCAAGGAGCTACTAGCATATCAAACATTCATGATTACCTAGAAGGTAATATATTCCTTGTTGTGCATTTCACGTATCTCCATGTTGATGCACATGATCCCAAACCTTAAACTATAGAGCTCCACTATTGTTTGAGAGCTTTGAGGTGAGACCAAAGATCACATTCATTAACACGAGATAACTAGTAATGTCTCAGGTCTAAGAATTAGTTGCATCCATAACTCAGAAGTGTTGTATGATTGGCAAGTAGTCAATCTTCCATTCGTACACTTCTATGGTTGGTCAATGTTCAGTGAACTCGATCTCATAGATGAGTACCTTTATGTCTATTCTATGTCACTATATGCTTAATCTGAGACTTACTACAGAATACGACATAAACTAGCTTTTGCAGATGTTTGATAGTCCACTCGATCATCATATGGCTAGGAACATAATTTAGGATTTAAGATCCATAGGGTACATATATCAAGATTGGAACATCTTTGCAGTCCTACTAAAGTTATTCCTTGGATTCATCCTAACCAATAACGAACCTTGAATCTTTCTACTCGATTGATAGATGTTCTCACTTGCCTTTTTTTGTCAATTACTCGACATTAATTTGACTAGAATAACCAATTACGTGTTGCCACATTAATTGTTTTTGAGCATATTTCAACACATGAAAGACCTGTTTATATTCATAGCATTGTTAATCCCTAAACCATATGCTTCATGCAATAATATTGATATCTATCTTCAGCCATTAATAGAAGAGTTGAAGAAATTGTGGGAAGATGGCATCACCACCTATGACCAAGGTTCTTAAAAACGGTAGGCGCCAGTCGGGCAGTGGGTAGGGGTTTAGCACCTAGGCGACCTATGCGGATTTATGTAAATTTATTGTATATCTTGTAAATAAGAGCTTATTTACACTTAAAAAAAAACTATACTTGTATGGATAATAAAAGAATGATAAAATGAAAAAATAGAAGTAGAAGATTACACAAAGTACATCTATCCAATAAGTTTAATATTTAAAAAACAGTAAGCATATAATCATAATGAGGAGTATTCTTGGATGATCGACCAAATTCTTCTTGGTCATGATCCTTTCATTGGATTTGACATAGACTAAATTATTTAACCTTGTTCTATCTAGTTTATTTCTTTTCTTTGTATGTATCCCCTCATAAGGGCTCCAATTCATTTCATAATCGGATGAACTTTTAGTCAATCCATCCTTTGCAAATTAGGTACACCATTTCATAAGTATACCACCATGAAACTAAAAAACAAAAAGCACAAAATTAATTAAAAAAAAAAAAAACCACCAAACCGCCTAGGACCGCCTAGCTCCGGACCGATTTTTTGAAATGATTTGCACTAAATAGTGGTGGGCCTTCATCGCTTAGACCAATTTTTAGAACACTGCCTATGATGCGTTTAGGAAGGGTCATTCACATTGCGAGTTGCTCTCTTGTGGACTTTTAATGACTTCCTGACCTATGCAACCTTGTCAGGTTAGAGCACAAAGGAAAAGTTTGCATGTCTTCACTTAACTATAAGACTAATTCAACGTATCTACGTTTTGGTAAGAAAATTTTCTATTTGGGACATCATTGCTTCTTGCTCATAATCCTTTTGTTTTGTTGGCATCGAAATGCATTCAATTTGTTTCATGAAATGAAGTGTGCACCATCGACAGTTGTGAAGTGCCTTCGCCTGTTGTCCAGACTAAGGTATGGTTTTGGGTTGAGGTGATTTAAAAAAAAGCTGGGAGAGTTTTTGGTGTTTGGTAAACACCCCAAACCAGTTTTTTTTCAATGTTTCAAATGAAAAAAGCTAAAAAGTGGAAGCTGCAAAAGTGGCTTATTTTCAAAGTTTCTCTTGATTCCTCACACTTTCAGGAGGAAGAACAACGTCGCCACGTCCCGGCAACCCAGCTCCAATCTGTTGATTAAGAATTACAAATTGACGGCCCAATCATCCATTTCTTCATCGTTGCCTTTCTCCTCCCCTTCATTGCTTTCTCCGTCGCCATCTCTGCCTTTAGCTTTGTCATTAGAAATGGTGAATTTCTCAACCTTGAACGTGAGGCTGGAGTGCACAATTTCAGAAATCCTAGTCTCGTAAGTTCCATTAAACCTTAATTTGGAGGTGGAGTGAGAGGAGGAGGGGATTAGGGCGATCCAATGGGGTCGAAGAGAGAGTGAGCGTTGTCGTCATCGCTAGAGAAGAAATCGTCCTCTAAGGTTCCGATGCGGGTGAGGTGAAGAAATGGGCAGTCTCGTCGGCGGAGATAGATTGGAGAAGGGGACTTAGCTAGAGATCTGGGAGAGCGGTGGTTGGTATTACTAGCACCAGCAAGGTTGAGGCAGGAGATGAGGGA